TAAAACTGAAAAAACTGGGCAAAGGATAGATAATTCTTTGGTAAGTTTTTACACTGATTTCTCATGGGCTTTGTCAACCAATTTATGATTGTTTACAGTAACACTCTTTCCCTTTGTGGAAAACACTTCACAACTCACCTCACAATGTACAACAGGACAACTGAGATTAAACTGTATTATTTTTTAAATGCAGTTTGCCAAGACTTACAGTTGAAAGTGAATAATTTCATATTTTGTTATAACATCTTTCCAGGGACCAGATATGGCAACAGAGGATGAGTACTGGGATTTGTGGGAGGCAGTAAAAGAAGATGACATTGATGTGGTACGTGGAACAAGCCAATGTAGCATTTTTTTTGTTGAATTTTTTTGGCAGAAGATGATAAGTGCTTGAGGTTTCTAATTGTCCTTTCTTGCTGAGTTTTATAGGTGGAAAATCTTCGCCAGGAGAAGAACATTAGATTCACTCGATGTCAGGATAACAAAACCATTCTTCATCTTGGAGCAGAGAGAAATGCAGTCAAGGTATTTGAAATTGAGTTGTGTCAGCATATCTGGGAAAATAATCTGCTCTTTTTCAATTCTGTCTTCAAGCTTAAAGCTTCCCTCTTTATTACCAATGCTGAGCACATCTAAAGGAGAAGTAATTTTTTAAGGTCTTGTGTCACCTTCCAAAAAGCTGTATTCAAGGACTTTTATCATTTCATCTACCCAGTGTGGAGAAAAAGACAATGAAAATGATAAAGACAATATTAATGATACTGAATGATTAAGTTAATCATTAAGGATAATTAATGATAATTATGATGATGACAGTGACATTGACATTGGCAATTAGAGTGATAATGATAGTGATAATGATAATGGTGATGAAAATGAAACTTTTTTAAGGTGATCCAGTACTTGCTGACTCATGGAAAAATGGATCCAAATGTCAAAGATGAAATATTACAGGTTTTTTCATTAAGCATTTTTAGTAGATTACTTAGTCCTGAAACAATTTTATCAAATGCATGTCATGCCAGGTCATCAGTTTGAATGAGTAGGTATTTTTTATTTAGTAATAAATCGTTATAAAGAAAAGATGGAGAATATTGGTAATTTTCAGTGAAGGAGTCCATAATAATGGGAGTTTATTTCAGTCATTTCTTTATGTGTCTTGTTGGGGGGCTGGTTCTTGTCCACAATGGACAAGCCAGGCGAGAGTCAACTGTACTTCAGTTCTCAATGAACACACAGCTAACACCCAAACCAATTGTTTCCTATATTTTAAACAGGGTAGTTTTAAGAAGAAATTCCAGTGATTTGTCTTGTCTATTTAGGGGGTCCCTCTCCATGGTGCAGCAGAATATGGATCAATTGATGCTGCCAGAGTTCTTTTAGAGCATGGAGCAGAGGTAAATCAAGTGAAACTTGCTGGAACTGTTGATAACAGACAATTTGTCCTGAGTAGGTTGTTCATCTTCAGTTGAGCCCTTTGTAAATTGAGAATTATTCTTTTTTTTTTTTAATTTACATGAAATTGAGTTTGATACCCTTATCTTCATCCAGATCAACAAGCAAGACCTAATTGGGAATACAGCATTACATATTGCTTGCGAACATGAACAGGTGAGATGCCAAGAGGGAAGCAAAAGATTGATAGCCAATGAAGTAATGCTACATTCTATAATAGAAAATAACATAAGTTATGGAAACTGTGACCTGATTGGTTGGATGCTTGTTTTGTATTTAAATTATGATGAAAAGTTAGATTTGTATTAATTATGGAGCAGAAAATCAGTTAAGCAGAATCTGATGAAATGTGCTGGTATATTGCTTCATTTTAAAAGGTTAAAATGAGAACATTCCTCATTGATCAAGGTGCTGATAAAACTATAAAAAACTCAGGTATGTAATAAACTTATTTTGATTATATGATTGTTTTTTAAGGAGGAATGCTTTTTTAAAAATTTACACTCAGCATTTTTTGTTGTTCCAACATTGCATACTAAGAATATGATATCATAAAAACACTCTTTTTTATAGACATTTTATCTCTCCAGATGAAAGTATACCTTATGTCATCACTAGTGCATGATAAGGAGACTGGAAAACAACTCCTAGGAAACTCACAGATGTCCCTTTTCCAACAAATGGTCTTCTCATCCTGCAGGTCACTTTACCCTTTTGGTTTTCTCATCTTGTGTGTCTTCTTATCTAGTGCATCTTTTCATTCCATGGGCCCTCTCACCTTGTAGGTCTTCTTGTTCCATGGATCTTCTTGTTCAGCAGGTCTTCTCATCCAGCAGGTCTTCCTATCCTGCAGTTCTTCTCATCCAGTGGGTCTTCTCATTCCATGGGTATCTTTATCCCACATGTTTTCTCATCTCACATGTCTTCTTATCCAGTAGTTCTTCTCATCCAGCATATCTTCTCATCTCGTAGGTCTTCTCATCCAGTAGGTCTTTTTATTCCTCAGGTCTTCTCAGCCAGTGGGTCTTTTCATTCCTTGGGTCTTTTCATTCCTAGGCGTCTTCTCATTCTGTGAGTCTTCTAATCCAGCAAGTATCCTCATTGTGCAGGTTTTCTCATTCTGTGGGTCCTCTGATCTCTTGGGTCTTGTCATTCAATGGGTGTTCTTTATCCTGCAGGTCTTCTCAACAAGCAGGTCTGATCCTGTGCGTGTTCTCATCTTGTGCATCTTCTCATTCTGTGATCACTCTTATCCTGCATATTTTGGTCTACCCTTTCCACAGGTCTTATGATCTATATGCTATAACACAATGCATTTTTTATAGGTGGTTTTTGTCCAGATAGTACTGAGATGATATGTAGTGTTCTTGTATTCCTTTTTTTTTCTTGCAGATGGTGAAACTCCTACTGTTTAGATACAAATTATTAAATATGTATTTTGACATTTGTGTAGATTACTTGTGAAAATTTATGAAAAATCACTCAAGATTCTCTGAGATGCACAGCTAATCAAAATTTGTCGTGAGATAAATTAAAAGTTTAGGGCTACTTCTTTAACATTCTTCGTAGGAAAATATAAACAGAAAGGATTTGCCTTTAAGTTGTTGTTAAGTGGTATCCTAGGTTAATGTTTTCCTTCTTTTTTTTTTTTTACCTTAATTAGCTTTCTTAGCTCTCTGTCATTATCTTTCCAGTGATCAGGAAAGTATTTTGAGGGTGCTGGTGTACTAATAAATTATTTCAACTAGCAAGGTGAAAATATTGTTAATTAGTATATACAACACAGGTAAATAGTGCTTTTTGCATGTGCTGATTGGCTAGTTAGGAAGTGATTAGCAAGTACTATTCACCACTAAGCAGCAAAATATACAGAATTGCACATCTAGAGTTAAATCTCCAACCATATTTTGGTATATTGACAGAAGTAAACTTATCTTTTTGGTTTTGTGGCATATACTAAAACAATTATGCACCTTAGTATTGGGAAAGGTGTGAATGCTTACTTACAAATATTTTTGATGTAAAATAATGGAAATTTGTATTTATAGTAGTTGTATTTAGGACAAAGATTATCCATTATTTGATTGTAAGATTTTTACTATTTGTTTGAAGGGAGTCCTGAAGAAGTTATTTATTAAATGAGTACTATTTTTTGACATGAAGGAATGTTATTAAGGGCTGTAAACAGTTGAAATTATGAACGTTTTCTTAATAAATGGTTTCAATAAAGTAATACCTTGAAGGACATAGTGATGTGAATTATACAATATTATATATGACAGAGTGCTTGTACTGAATACTATTGGACACAAATCCCAGTGCAAGAGCAGTATGTGGTGTGAGCAGGGCCTGAAAAGGTCCTGCAAGATGCTAGTCAAAGGAAGGAATAGAAGGGGCGAAAGTCACTGCTAACACATAGTAAAATGCTGATTGATCAAGCAAAGTTAGGCCTGACAGGAGCATTTTTGGCTTTTGATCATGTCACATGTACCTTGCTGGGTTTAATCAATTAGCTACTAGTTCAAGCCAAATATTTATCTCTCCAGCCCATCCACTTAATTAACAATATCTCACATGAAGTCACAAAATCAGTCTTATAATTTGCCTTCTAGCTGCAATGCACTTCATTATAAATTGGTTTAAAGAATAGTTGTTTAACTAATTCACAAAGAAAAAAATGAACTGTACCATGGAGTTTGGTTTCAAACCAAATCAAAGAAGTGCATTGTTGAAGATTAAAGAGAAGGGAAAGTGCATTGTACAAAATTGAACTGCCTGAAGAGAAAGAACTAACTTTTTATCACACTGATGTGACTTTGACTTTATTTATATTACAAA